CTTATGCTATCTTTCCCAAATAAATAAATTAAATATTTTTTTAAAGTCAATTAAAAATCATTTAATGGGGAGGTCCCTGGGTGGCCCAGTCAGTTAAACGTCTGTCTTGGGCTCAGATTGTGATATTGGGGTCCTGGGATCCCCCTGTGTTGGGCTCCCTGGTCAGCGGGGACTCTGTTTCTCTCTCTTCTCTGCCTGCCACTCCCCTGCTTGTGCTCTCTCTCTCTGTCAAATAGAAAAAATCTTTATTAATTTTTTTAAAGATTTTATTCATTTATTCATGAGAGACAGAGAGGCAGAGACATAGGCAGAGGGAGAAGCAGGCTACCCTACCCAGAGGGAGCCTGATGCAGGACTTAATCCCAGGACCCCAGGATCACGACCTGAACCAAAGTAGATGCTTAACCGCTGAGCCACCCAGGCATCCCAATAAATAAAATCTTTTTTAAAAAAAAGTCATGTGCAGTCCGGGTGGCTCAGCAGTTTAGCGCTGCCTTCAGCCCAGGGCGTGATCCAGGAGACCTGGGATCAAGTCCCACGTTGGGCTCCCTACATGGACCCTGCTTTACCTTCTGCCTGTGTCTCTGCACCTCTGTGTGTGTGTGTGTGTGTGTGTGTCCCTCATGAATAAATAAAATCTAAATAAATAAATAAATAAATAAATAAATAAATAAATAAATAATTTTTAAAGTCATTTGGAGAAACCTGACTGGCTCAATTGATAGAGCATACGACTCTTGAGCTTGAGGTCATAAGTTCAAGCCCTAGGTTGGGCATCAAGCTTATTGAAAAAAAAAAATTAACAGAAAATATTTATTGAAATGTCAATTATAGAATAGTCCAAATTTACAAGGTTCCAAGTCTACAATTACTGTGAGGCCAAAATCGCCCACATACACAACTTACTATGTCCCAGGCACTGTTATAAGCATGTTATTTATCATATATCATTTAATCCCCATAACAACTCTATGAGATGGGTACTATTATTACCCCCATTTGCAGATTAGGAAACAAAGGCATAGAGAAGTTAAACCATTTCCCCAAGGTTACATAACTAGTAAACAGTAAGATTTAAACCCAGGTGATCTAAAAAAAATAATAGGGATCCCTGGGTGGCGCAGCGGTTTAGTGCCTGCCTTTGGCCCAGGACATGATCCTGGGGACCCAGGATCGAATCCCACGTCGGGCTCCCGGTGCATGGAGCCTACTTCTCCCTCTGTCTGTGTCTCTGCCTCTCTCTCTCTCTGTGTGTGACTATCATAAATAAATAAATAAAAATTAAAAAATTAAAAAAAATAAGAATAATAATAATAAACCCAGGTGGTCTGAAGTCAATAAGAAAGAGAACTAGAAACAAAAAATAGGTATCTCCATTTATCAAGTTTATGCTCAATTTTCAAGTCTGTGAAATCTTGAAATCAAGATGCCTTATCATTGCTACTGAAATGGTGACCAAATATCAAAAAATCAAGTAAGATATAAACCAGAGAAGATGCTTTACACCACTGGTGTGTGGTGTATGCATTAGTAAAGACTTTAGATTTCATAACATGTGTCTTTTGTGTAAAATCTAGTTCAAGGCAAAAAAAAAGCTGGCTAACTTGATATCAACCTTCTCCAGTAAATGTTTTTGAAATGAGGGTATGTTGTTTTCTACTCAGCAGCGTGGAAATCCTCATGGGATTTATATATGTCATTTCTTCAATTTTCAACAGAAGCTTAAATTGTAAGAACTATATACCAGAGGAACCTGGGTGGCTCAGTCGGTTAAGAGTCTGCCTTCAGCTCAGGTCATGATACCAGAGTCCTGGGGTGAAGTCCCGGGTCTGGCTCCCCATTTGGCTGGAAGTCTGCTTCTTCCTCTGCCTCTCTCCCACTCATGCTTATTCTCTCTCTCTCTCTCTCTCTCTCTCTCTCTCTCTCCCCCTCTATTGCTCTTTCAAATAAATAAACAAAATCTTTTTTAAAAAAAATCAGAAAAAAGAACTATATACTAAAGCAAAAGTATTATATGTGTATGTGTCAACACAGTTGTTATAAATAGAATCAAAATATTAAGTTGCTTTGAAACTATAACTGCTAAATTGCTTTTGAGTATGAATAGTTCTGGTCAACTTTTTAAAGCATCAAATCAAGGAATATTTGAAGTAAAAGAAACCATCCAATACAAATCAAGTAAAGGAAATATCACACTAAATATTCAAAAATGGAATTAGGGCAGCCCCAGTGGCGCAGCGGTTTAGCACCGCCTGCAGCCCAGGGTGTGATCCTGGAGACCTGGGATCAAGTCCCACGTAGGGCTCCCTGCATGGAGCCTGCTTCTCTCTCTGCCTGTGTCTCTGCCTCTCTTTCGCTCTTTCTGAATGAATGAATGAATAAATAAATAAATAAATAAATAAATCTTTAAAAAAAAAGGAATTAAAATATTTTTAGGGGGGCTGGCCTGACTCAGTCAGTAGAGCACGTGACTCTTAATTTTGGGGGTTGTGAGTTCAAGCCCCACACCGGGTGTAGAGATTACTTACAAATTAAAAAAAATTTAAGATTTTATTTATTTATTCGACAGAGAGAGAGAACAAGAAGGGAGAGCAGCAGTCAGAGGGAGAGGGAGCAGCAGGCTCCTTGCTCAGGGAACTCAATTGCAGGGTTCAGTCCCAGGACGCTGGGTTCATGACCTGAGCTGATGGCAGACACTTAGCTGACTGAGTCACCCAGGCACCCCCAAAATAAAATATTTTTAAATGGGAAAGATATATATGAAAAAAGGGGAAAGATACATATAAAAGGAATTGACAAAATTGTGACAGATCATTTCATTTTAAATAACTGATTGTAATCCTAAACATGCTATGTCATTGACAGAATCAGTAAAGAAGGAATAGCAAGATAATGCTTTCATTCTCCTTTTAATATATGCCACAGTACATACATGGAAGTATGACATAATTGGTAACTAAATTGCTGGCTATAATGAAAGAGACTGTTAAAAACATTATTCATAAACAATAGGATTTTTTTTTTAGTCTATTCAAAACTAATCCTCCTTCTTTGTAGACTGAGTAAACAATAATATAACTATAAAAGACTAACTAAAAGGATCTAGAGATTTATTATGGGGATATAATTGACCCTTATTTTATAACTCAGCATGACAATGTTTTTTAATCCAAATTGTGAAGCTTATTAAGGTAAATTACGTTTCTTTGATTTTAAAAATCTCCTTCAAAAAAAATAAAAATAAAAAATAAAAATCTCCTTCAAAAATTATTTGGCAATAGTATAATTCATAACACAGATGGTAAAAATTGTAATAAATGTTCTCCATTGCTATAAGTAAATCACCACCAAAGTAAACAAGAATAACATATTATCCTAAAGAAGAAATATGCAACTAAAAGAGTATTATAACCTGGGCTGTGTGTGTGTATTTAACTACAAGATACTTAATATAGGGCAGCCCCGGTGGCACAGCGGTTTGGCGCCACCTGCAGCCCAGGGTGTGATCCTGGAGACCCAGGATCGAGTCTCACTTTGGGCTCCTTGCATGGAGCCTGCTTCTCCCTCTGCCTGTGTCTCTGCCTCTCTGTGTGTGTGTCTCTCATGAATAAATAAATAAAATCTAAAAAAAAAAGACACTTAAGATAGATAACTCCCTCAGTGTGATGAAGATAGAGATTTTAATCCTCTTTTTAAAGATTTTATTTATTCATTCATGAGAGACACAGAGAAAGGCAGAGACACAGGCAGAGGAAGAAGCAGGCATCATACAGAGAGCCTGACGTGAGACTCGATCCAGGGTCCCCAGGATCACGCCCTGGGCTGCAGGCGTCGCCAAACCGCTGCGCCACCCAGGGATCCCCCTTTATTTTTTTTTTTATCCAAACAAAATTAAGCACATTTTGTTACTAAACTCTAGCCTTATGAAACAAAGATAAATAGAATAGTATTTTGCTTTAAAATATTTTAATGTTAATAGCTATATTTTAGTAATAAAACATTTTAATAATTATATAAGATATATCTAATAATTGAAATGTACTTCTTACTCATCTCAATAGTATTTAAAACATTGAAAAACTAGGAATAAATGAAATATTTAACAATAAGGGAATAATCAATTGTAATACAACAATAAAGTGAAATGTTTAGCATTAAAATATTTATGAAGTGTTTAATAACATGGAAATGTTATAATGTTATAATGTTAGTGTGTAAAAAGCCAGAATCAACAAGTAACATATGTTATCTTCCCAAACATGTCTTCAATATATATATATATGAAAAACACTGAAGATTAATAAACAAAACATTAATTAATAAACAAAATATTAATAGTGTTACCCTTGGGAAATAGAATTATAGGAGTTTTCCATAATTTAAAAAACTTTAGCAACCTTCATTATTGTCTATGTGACCCTTTAAAGACATTATTCCAATGTAGATCAAGTGAACAACCACAGCATTTTCACACATTGTTTCAGAAATCACCCTTTTAAGTAACTTCTCTCACATGATTTTAAAATGTTAACATAAAAGGATGTTTCTTGATTTATATAATTTAACTGCTCATATAAAAATACATATTTTAATTAAACATTTTAAAAACACTAATTACTAGAAAATTATATTTCAAAAAAAAAAGAAAATTATATTTCATCTCAATTTTGGTATAAATTACCATAACAAAGCTATAGCTTATGTATTCTGTGAAATACTGCCAACAACATTACAATAAAATTTCAAATACATATTTTTTAGTGTATTTGAAATAAGTCTATGGCCTTGTGCCAGAATACACATATTCAATCAGAAACATCTATAAAATCACAAAAGGACACTATCCAAATAAAGACCCAAGCTTTAAACCCTTAACTGTCTCTAAGCCAAATGTGCTTTAAAATAATATAAGGTTAGGTTTTTAGCCAATGTCACTAAAAGTACAAAGTTACAACCTTAAATAAAAACTTGAAAAAGAACAGCATTATCCACTGTCTTACCGAAGACAGTTCATCACATCCTAGTAGCATGTAGTAATCTTCAGTGTCTTCTGACCTGTAATTCAGAATTGCATCCATTTCAGTCACTAAATCAGCTTCTCTCTGAAATAAGAGACAGAATAAGCTGTGAATTAATCAGAACAGCCTTTTTAAATCTGGTTCTCAGCAGCACGTTCCAAACAGCAGTAACTAGATTTAAGGCTGGCCACAGTCAATACACCATATGTCATCCTAGACCTTTGTAAACTCTACCCTTCATTGGCTGTTTGCAGAAGAGAAAAGAACAGGCCACGTGCCTACCTGTTGCAATGCTGTCTGGGATCTGTAGTTTGAATTTATGTAAATAATGCATTTGAACCATTCTTTTTTTTTTTTTTTTTTTAAGATTTCATTTAACTTGAGAGCGAGAGAGAAAGCACAAGCAGTGGGGAGCAACAGAGGGAGAAGGAGAAGCAGACCCCTGCTAAGCTGAGAGCCCGACACAAGTCTTGATCCCCAGACCCTGAAATCATGATCTGAGCCAAGGGTAGACACTTAACCAACTGAGCCACCCAGGCACCCCTGAAACATTCATTTTATGGGTTGACAAAGTCTGTCCATTTTTATGTACTCCCCAAATTAGCCATTTCTCCATTCCTTTTTTTTTTAAGATTGTATTTATTTATTTATGAGAGACACACACAGAGAGAGGCAGAGACATAGGCAAAGGGAGAAGCAGGCTCCTCGCAGGGAACCCGATGTGGGAACTCAATCCCCGGAACCCAGGATCACGACCCGAGCCAAAGGCAGCTCAACCACTAAACCACCTAGTGCCCCTCCATTTCTTGTATATTTTTATCTTTTTTCCTTTATTTTTTTAAGAGGTAGAAGAAAATTTGAAGCAATACAATAAAACTCTCAGAATTTGTTAAATCTGGGTAGTGGGTGTTTTTCTAAGTGTTTAGACTATTTCATAATGTTTTAAATAGTTTAAGCATAGAAGGAAATAGACAAGGAGAGAAAATTCTCAATCATTTGATAGTTTGTTCATTAAACAAGTATTTATTGAGAACCTGTTCTGCGTCCAGTGTGATTGTGGGAAAAGGTGTGGTAAGTCAGTTGGTTCTTAACAAGTTTACATTTTGATGGAGGAAGACAGACAAGAAACATGCAAACAAACAAGATCAATTAAAATAGTGATTTATACTATGAAGGAAATAAAATAGGGCAATAAGAAGAAGAACTGTATGATGACCAGGTTTGGTTCACTGTACCTTTGCTCCTGAGCTGGTTCTCTCCAGACTCAAAAGTGTGTCTGGTGCAAAGTGTGTTCAGGGAATATGTTTCAGTTCACTGTGGCCCTAGGATACACAGGTCAGATCTAGGATTTAGAGAAGGTGAGTAGTCACAGATGGAACATTTTAACCATCTTAACCCTTTAAACATTACCTTGAAAAAAGAAATGTTTTCATGGAGCTCACCTATATGCATCTTCTTTAAAATTTATTTTGGAGGGATCCCTGGGTGGCGCAGTGGTTTGGCGCCTGCCTTTGGCTCAGGGCGCGATCCTGGAGACCCAGGATCGAATCCCACGTCGGGCTCCCGGTGCATGGAGCCTGCTTCTCCCTCTGCCTATGTCTCTGCCTCTCTCTCTGTGTGTGTGACTATCATAAATAAAAAAAAATAAAATTTATTTTGGAAAAGAAATAAAGCACTGAAGCACCATTCTTACAAAACCTTCATTATATATCCTCTCTTACTAAATTTCTGTATGGAATTTTAAAATAAAGGATAGCTATTTCTGTTTTGGAAAACTTACATCCCTTGGGGTATTTAGACGCTTATTTGAAAATCACAAAATGCTGATTAGAATAACTAACAAACAGCCTTCAAATAATGTAAAGTTGCTGCTATGGAAAATAGGGTAGTAAGTCCTCAAAAAATTAAACATAGAATTACCATATGATGCAGCAATTCCACTTCTGGTTATTTACCAAAAAAAAATTGAAAGCAAGGACTTGAGCAGGTATTTGCACACCCATGTTCATAGTATCATTATTCACAACAGCCATAAGGTAGAAACAACCCAAGTGTCTGAAACAGGAAAAAATAAAACACAATATAGCAGTGCCTGGGTGCTCAGTCAGTTAAGCATTTGCCTTCGGCTCAGGTCAGGATCCCAGGGTCCTGGGTTCAAACCCCGAGTCAGGCTCCCTGCTCAGAGGGGAGTCCGCTTCCCCTTCTCCCCCTGCCGCTCCCCATGCTTGTGCTCTCTCTCTTTGTTAAATAAATAAATAAATAAAATCCTTCAAAAAATAAAATGATGTAGAAACATACATAATATCTGGGAAATGTTCATATTCCAATTTTTTGGTGAAAAAAATTTACAAACCAGTATGTATTATGTAAAAACTCACTGAGCACGAAGACTCAGTGGGTAAAAGTCTTATCTCAATCTAAACAGGAAAAATAGGGCAGCCCAGGTGGCTCAGTGGTTTAGCGCCACCTTCAGCCCAGGGCCTGCTCCTGGAGGCCAGGGATCCAGTCCCACGTCAGGCTCCCTGCATGGAGCCTGCTTCTCCCTCTGCCTGTGTCTCTGCCTCTCTTCTCTCTCTGTGTATCTCATGTATAAATACATAAAATCTTTTTAAAAATAAATAAATAAATGGAAAAATATAAAATTAAAATTTTTAAATATGTATGGTACAATATCAGTTTTATAAATATGTTATATATATTGATAAAATATGAAAAAGCATATATACCAAAACAGACCATTATCACTACATAATGGGGTCACAGTTTACATTTTATTCTTCTTACTCATCTCCATTTGCTAAGATAAACATATATTATTCTTTTAATTTAAAAGGAGCAATAAAAAACAAATCAGTAAACACTGCAAAATGCCAAAAAAAAAAAAAAAAACTGCAAAATGCCAAACATCACACAGCTATTTACAGACTTAATAGAAATGACAATTCAGAGTTTGTTCTTCAGGTGGTTTGATTTGGTTTGGTTTGTTGCATTCCCCACTGCAGCTATGTAGTTAGTCAATTTACTCATCCTGGGAAGCTAACATTGTGCTGTAGAGTTGACAAAGAATAAAATGATCTCTGCCATCACAGGGTGGCCCCTCTCTCAGGTATCTGGGCTACTATCCATTCCAACCGGTAACGTCCAATTGTTGTATCTTGGGAAAGACTCCTTGCTTACAGGAATCATAATGCAAGGTAAACAATGCCAAACCCTTCTCCTTATTCCTAAATGATATTTATACTTCAGAACTTCTTTTAAGGGTAAAGTATTGCACTGCTATATCCACACTAAAGCTGTGATCAAAAATAGCAAAATAGCATGGGGCGCTTGGGTGGCTCAGGTCATTCTCAGGGTCCTGAGATAGAGCCCTCCATTGGGCTTTCTGTTCAACGGGGAGTCTGCTTCTCCCTCTCCCTCTGTGCACTTTCTCTCTCTCATATGCATGCGCTCTCTCTCTCTCAAGTAAATAAATAAATCTTTTTTAAAAAAATAACAAAATGGCAAAAATATACCATGTACTATGTAGAATACACCATATACCATAGACCTCAATAAGCCAACTCTAAGTTCCATCAAAAGACAATCCAAAAAAATTAAGTAAGTTTGAGTCCAAATATGTATATATATTACATACAATTATTATAGTGCCTATATTATAATCAAATGCCTACACATAATACTTTCATTATTTAGTTACATACAAAATGATCAAATGATCTCACAATATTTTTTTTGATCTCACAATATTTAACTTTTAAAATTTCCTTTAACTTACATGTTTTAAATCATACATTATGAAATAAATGTAAGTTTACAAGTACAAGGCATCTACCTTTTTTTCTAGAGGATGATATTAGGGGCATCCTGGGTGGCTCAGTGGTTTAGCGCTGCCTTCAGTCCAGGGTGTGATCTTGGAGACCCAAGATCGAGTCCCACGTCGGGCTCCCTACATGGAGCCCGCTTCTCCCTCTGCCTGTGTCTGTGTCTCTCATGAATAAATAAATAAAATCTTTAAAAATAAATAGATAGGGATCCCTGGGTGGCGCAGCGGTTTGGCGCCTGCCTTTGGCCCAGGGCGCGATCCGGGAGACCCTGGATCGAATCCCACGTCGGGCTCCCGGTGCATGGAGCCTGCTTCTCCCTCTGCCAGTGTCTCTGCCTCTCTCTCTCTCTCTGTGACTATCATAAATAAATGTAAAAAAAATAAAAAATAAAAAAAATAGATAAAAAATAAAGGATAATATTTGGAAAAACTTTGCCTTATATCTGAACATACATAATACTTTTTCAGTTTGGGAATCCTACTTCAATAATTCTCATGTTTTAAAATCATTTTCATAAATTTTTTCTCTTAAGTTATATATTATTTAGAAAAGTTTTCATTCCTTATTTTAATAAATATTAGCAGTCTTTTGGGGGCATTGTTCAGAAAAAGTAATAATACAAGATAACCAGATATTCTGAGAATAGTTGGAGTGCCACTTATTTATTTCTACTCTTTCCCAAAATTAACCTCCAAACTTGCCATGGCATCTCATCATAGGGTTTGTTTTTAATGTTCATTGGGGTTTTCTCCCCAACAAAGGTAACAAAAATCATGTTGGGACCTCTGGTTAGTATTTGGAGAAATGATAAATGATAAAGCTAGAACCATTTCTCCTTATGCCAAAATAAATTACATACAATCAAATAACCCAGAAGCCATAGAAAAAGTAACCAATATGAGTATATCATTTTCTTTTTAAGTAGCCTCCACACCCAGCATGGAGCCCAACTCGGAGCTTGAGCTCACAACAGTGCGATCAAGACCTAAGCTGATATCAAGAGTCCATTGCCTTAACCAACTGAGGCACCCAGACCCTCCAATGTGAGTATAGCAATAGTAAGTGCATTTTTGTGGCAAAAAAAAAAAAAAAACCAGCAAAATCAGAAAGTTAACAATGTGCAAGGAGAACAATTTCATAATTCTCATAATAGACAAAAGACTAACTTCCTTAATTTACAAAAAGTGCAAACAAATTAGTAAGAAAAAAACTAACAACCCAGTAGAAAATTGGGCTGAGAATATGGATACTTTTAGAAATATAGATGGCCAATATACGTTAAGAGTATCACCTCATTTATAACTATGAAACTTGGGATCCCTGGGTGGCGCAGTGGTTTAGCGCCTGCCTTTGGCCCAGGGCGCGATCCTGGAGACCCAGGATCGAATCCCACGTCGGGCTCTCGGTGCATGGAGCCTGCTTCTCCCTCTCCCTCTGCCTATGTCTCTGCCTCTCTCTCACTGTGTGCCTATCATAAATAAAATTTAAAAAAAAATAACTATGAAACTGCTAATCAAAAGAAAATAAGTTCACCTTTCAGGAAAGTGGAATTTGTAAAGTTTGATAATATCCAACACTAGTGAAAAAGTAAACACACTCATATATTAATGGATAAGAGTGTAAATTGGCGCAAATTGGTGGCATTTAACTTTTATAAAGCTGTACCTCCTTAACCAGGCAATTTTGTCTCCATGAATTTACCCTGTGGATTTACACTAAAATATGTTCAAGGTGATCACTGCAACATTCTTTGCAACAGAAAAAACTAAAATGTCCCTCAATGGACCGGAGAAGAAGATGGCAGTAGATGAATAAATTATGGTATTTGCAGAATAAACTACTATACAGTCATTAAAAAGAGTAAGATAGCTTTCTCTGCAAGTACGGAAATGGATTATCAAATGAAAAGGGAAGTTTGAGAAGCATATTATAGCATTATCACTTTTGTGCAATTATACATATTGCACCTTGTATCTTCTTTTAAAGCTGGTGTTTGGGACGCGTGGGTGGTTCGGTGGTTGAGCGTCTGCCCTCCACCCACGGCGTGATCCTGGAGACCCGGGATTGAACCCCACGTCGGGCTCCCTGCATGGAGCCTGCTTCTCCCTCTGCCTGTGTCTCTGCCTCTCTCTCTCTCTCTCTCTCTCTGTGTGTATCTCATGAATAAATAAATAAAATATTTTTTTAAAAAATAAAAGAAATAAAAAGCTGGTGTTTTTCTTCTTGGGGGGAGCTGGGCAGGCACAGAAGAGAGGCTTTTAGTTTCTGTTTATACCTTTCTGAACTGTTGGTACCAAGTCCAAGTAGCCACACCACCAGTTTTGGTTTTTTGTGCTTTTTAGTATTCTAAAAGAGCAACTACCATTTGTTTTATTTACATATGGTTACTGAAAAAAAAAAACTTTCAAAATACATACTCCAAAACACATAGTAGTAATCATGTAGAACTTTTTAACAGACTTACAGTTCTTTGCACCTCAAGACTCTGAGTAGGACGCCCAACCCCAGAACCAACCGCAGAAAAAATACCCAATCTCCTCTGGCACCTGGAGGCGTCGCCCACCCCCGGGACTACAACTCCCACGAGGCACTGCGGGACTGGCGTGAAAGGGCGTCGCCGGAAGTCCGAGTTACGTCCCGCCTCCGGGAACCATCCCTTCGAAAGTGTTTTTGGTGTTTGTTTTGTTGGGAGTTGGGGGGTTAGTTTGGGGGGGGGTTGTTTGCTTGTTTTTTAAGATTTGTATTTATTGCCTGTGTCTCTGCCTCTCTCTCTCTCTGTGTGTGTGTGACTATCATAAATAAATAAAAATCAAAAAAAAAAGATTTGTATTTATTTTTTCATGAGAGACACGGGGTGGGGAGCAGAGACACAGGCAGAAGGATAAGCAGGCGCCATGCGGGGAGCCCGACGCGGGACTCGAACCCGGGTCTCCAGGATCACGCCCTGGGCGGAAGGCGGCGCCAAACCGCTGAGCCAACCGGGGGGGATCCCCGGGTTTTGTTTTTTGTTGCTTTTTTTTTTTTTTTTTTTTCTTAAATCAAATGCTCTAGTCTTTAAGTGGCAAGGGAAAAAGGAGCTAAAGGTCGTGGAAACCAGAGGAAACCTAGAAGTTCTGACTACAAGCCTCAGAAGCGCCGAGCGAGAAGAGAAATTAGGCAGCTGATCGGCGGGCTCCGCGCAGCCGCGAGCGCTTCTCAGCCTGGCCGCTCTCCGGCCTCGCGGCTTTCCTTCCAGTCTCGCGCCAGATTTCTGTCGTGCTAAACAAAATCGGCACTTTTCCATGGCGGCTTTTGGCGACCCGAGCTTTCACCTTAGGTTTAGCAACCCGGCTTCCAGAAACTGCCTTTACCCCTCCGTCTGGATTTCCCACGACGCCCCGCCCCCGCCCCGCCCCCGGCTCAGGCTGGGATCCCGGGCGCCGCGGGTGCGCCGTTAGGCCCCCGCGCCGCCAGGCTCTGGCTCGGTGCCTGCGTGTTCCCGCGGGAAGGACCGAGCGCGCCAGGACCTTAGCCTCACCTGTGTCCGCGTCACCAGGTCGTCCCCTCCCGGCTGTGAGAGCGAAGCGGGCTTTGGAGAGCAGTGCAGGATGTTGAAAGGAGTCTTTCTGTTAAATCAGACATACAGTCGAATTTGTGAAACATTCTTTAAAGGCTGTTGAAAAAAATAAAATAAAATAATAAAAAAAAATAAAGGCTGTTGAAACATTGCTTTGAAGCTTTAATCTGTGATCCCGTTCCTTTTGTTCCTTTTTTTTTTTTTTTTTTTGTGATCCCGTTCCTAATAGTATAGGGATATGGATAGTGGGAAGGTTATGCGTGGGGGGGAGGGTATGTGGAAACTATACTCAATTTTGCTGTGAACCTAAAACTCTAAAAAGTAAAGCTGTTATTAATTTAGAAAAGTAAAAAGAAAAAAAATTAGAAAAGTAATAGCAAGAACAGGAAATGTAAGGCAGCCCGGGTGGCTCAGCAGTTTGGCGCCGCCTTCAACCCAGGGTGTGACCCTGGAGACCCCGGATCGAGTCCCACGTCCGGCTCCCTGCATAAAGCCTGCTTCTCCCTTTGCCTATGTGTGTGTGTCTCTCTCTACTCTGTGTCTCTCATGAATAAATAAATAAAATCTTTAAAAAAAAAAGAGAACAGGAAGTGTAATAACCCATATTGAGCTCCTACTCTGTGCTAGCAGTAAAGCTGGGGTTTGAGCGCTGCTGTGTCTGACTCCTGAGCCCATAGAGAAGAAAATGCATAAAAACGCTACATTAAATCATCCAGCCAGAATTTTGGCGTATTGGAAAATGCACACGACAAGGCTGTTAGGAGACCTGATTTCTAGCATCAGCTCTCCACTGGCTCCTTGTAGAGCCATACTTCCTTGATTTGTGCCAGAGCAATGATTCCCAACTGTAAAGGCTTCCCCCAAATCATCTGGTGACCTGGTTCAAGGCCAGCTTCTGCTTCAGGATATCTGGGTGTGGTTTGAGATTCTCCGTATTTGACAAGCCCCCAATGAAGTCCCTGTTGATCCAGGGATCACACTCCAAGTAGCAAAAGGACTCACTCTAACACTGGAGCACTCTTATACTCAGTAGTTCTTTCCCCTTTAACCTTATGGCCTTTACTCTCAAGGAATTATTAAAGGATTGTCAAAAAGGAGAGTAAATAAAAATGCCTCTCTCAAGACATAAAAATAAAAAATAACTTTTTAAACTATGGTAAAAATGCCTCTAGAAAGATACACAAGAAACTCATAAGAGTATCTGCCTTCAGAGAGGGGGACTAAATGCTCAAGTATAGGAATGGTAGGTAAATTTCACTATATACTTTTATATCTGTGGAATTTTCACTATTCTGTATGTATTTTCCATTTTTAAAAAGTTATTCATTTTAATGATCATAAAGTGGTTAATATGCCATTTGTTAGTAAACAAAAAAGTCATCAAGTTATTGGTTTCTATTACTCTAACAGATTTATTTTAAACAATAAAATTCATTAAATAGTTACTTGATAATGTTTGGGAAAAAAGCGCTTAAATATGTTACTGAAGGAGGTGCCTGGCTGGCTTAGTCAGTGGAGCATACAACTCTTTTTTTTTTCTTTTTTCTTTTCTTTTCTTTTCTTTTCTTTTCTTTTTTCTTTCTCTCTCTCTTTTTTTTTTAAGATTTTATTTATTTATTCCCGAGAGACACAGAGAGAGAGAGGCAGAGACATAGGCAGAGGGAGAAGCAGGCTCTTCACAGGGAGCCCGATGCAGACTCGATCCTGGAACCCGGGGATCACACCCTGAGCCGAGGGCAAATGCTCAACCATTGAGCCACCCAGGCATCCTATGAGCCACCTTAGCATCCCAGAGCATGCAACTCTTGATCTTGGGGTTGTGATTTTGAGCCTGCATTGGGTGTAGAGATTACTTAAAACATCTTGTAAAAAAAAAATAAGTCCCTGATATTTCAGCTTTTTTTCCCCTTCCCAAATAGAATTGCAATGGAGGGGCAGCCCCAGTGGCGCAGCGGTTTAGCTGCCTGCAGCCCGTGGTGTGATCCTGGGGACCGGGAATCGAGTCCCACATTGGGCTCCTCGCATGGAGCCTGCTTCTCTGCCTCTCTCTCTGTGTGTGTGTCTCTCACGAATAAAAAAACAAAGTCTTAAAAAAAAAAAAAAAAAGCATTGCAATGGAGCATATTAGTAATACAGTAATCAAATCAGATATGATGATCACTTTAAAAAGTAGTGTCTTGGGGATCCCTGGGTGGCTCAGCGTTTTAGCTCCTGCCTTTGGCCCAGGGCTCGATCCTGGAGTCCCGGGATTGAGTCCCATGTCCGGCTCCCGTCATGGAGCCTGCTTCTCCCTCCTCCTGTCTCTGCCTCTCTCTCTCTCTCTCTCTCTCTCTCTCTATCATAAATAAATAAACAAACAAATAAAGTAGTGTCTTGGGATCCCTGGGTGGTGCAGCGGTTTGGCGCCTGCCTTTGGCCCAGGGCGCGATCCTGGAGACCCGGGATCGAATCCCACATCGGGCTCCCGGTGCATGGAGCCTGCTTCTCCCTCTGCCTGTGTCTCTGCCTCTCTCTCTCTCTCTCTCTCTCTCTGACTATCATAAATAAATAAAAATTAAAAAAAAAAAAATAAATAAAGTAGTGTCTTAAGGACATGAAACTGGGCCAAATCATCCATGTGATAACTCCTGGCAGTAAGATCTGTGATTCTCTGACCCTATGAGTCCTGACTCCCAGAACATACACAAGGATCTTCTAGTGTGGCAACACATTAAAATCACTTTGTGAATATATCTATACACACACACATACATATGTATACAAATATACAGGGCAACCTGGGTGGGTCAGCGGTTTAGTGCTCCAGTCTGATCCTGGAGACCTGGGATTGAGTCCCACATCCGGCTCCCTGCATGGAGCCTCCTTCCCCCTCTCCCTGTGTCTCTGTACCCCCCTCTCTCTCATGAATAAATAAATATACATATGTGTATATACATATACCTACACACATACCAATGCTAGGACCATCCTGTAGTCTGAATTAAAAAGGAGGTTCTGTGGGTATGGCATGAGTATTTTGTAAAGTTTCTCTCAGTGATTCTAATGTGCAGCAAACCTACACTGAGGATGTTAATCTGAGGATCATTACTCGGGCAAATTAATGGAATAAAAACAAGAAACTTTCATTATTTTTTAGATTTTATTTATTTTTTTAAGTAATCTCTGCACACAAAGTAGGGTTGAGCTCAAAACCCCAAGTTCAAGAGGTGCTTGCTCTACAGACTAAGCCAGCCCAGCATCCCCAAAACAAGCAATTTCAATTAATATTTTCTATGTCGTAGGCCCCCTTCTCTTTGGTGAATTCAGAAAATCATTTTGGTTTTGTGGTAAATTCACAGACACTATGTGATTCTGTGAAAGCCCAAGCTGCCAAATGAATGTTTGCCAAAAGGAATTGAAATCTAAGTATAGAGTAATACTCATGAGCAGCTTCATGGCTCAGCACAAATTCTTTGAGTACATGGTGTGTACCTACCACTGTGGGAGATCTAAAAAGAATCTGTTTTAGTTGTTCCTCACAAGAAACTTGCATTGCAATCAAAGAGACAAGATTGAACTTGTGACTCACAGATCAAGTCAGGCCTACCAAACCATATACCTAATAATACATGAATTAGCTGCCAACATTTTAAAATTGGGCAGCTAAATATTTAAACTTTACATAAAACTCTAGGCTTCTATTTCCTTTGAAACACTGGAAGATCTGACAATTTGGGGTTCACTTGGCATTCCCAGTGGCAACATTTGCCTGGAGCTAAACTGGGACTACCCCCTTTAGATGGGGCCTATGCTATGGTGTCAAGGTCTCCTGACTCCTTGTTATTTGTTGACACTGAAGCCAAGTGTGAGTTGCCAGGCATTATTCACTCACATTTTTATCCTAAAGAGAAAAGAAATATTTAGAATAAGGAAAGAAATATTTAAAAATATTTCTTGATCCCTATTTT